GATAAGAAAAATCATAAAGAAAATAATGTGGCATTTCCTTGACAGTCATGAAGTATCTTTCTTCAAAAACCAGAATAAAATGTAACCAACAGTAAAGATAAAATGATCCAGTTATAACACATTTTAAAACAACCTTTTGTCCATTATTAACATCTCGTCTAAAGGGTTTTATTAAACAAAAATAATAACATTTCAGTGAGATATTTGTAATTATAGTATTTTGCATGAAATTATCATTTCATTTTTTATGATTCTATAAAAAATGCTATACTCATTCAGTAAAAATGTTTAACTAGACTTAACTCGATACTTAGCCAACTTCTGTTTGTTTTTGTTTCTTTAATTTTAAGTTTGTTTGTAGTTAATCACAAAGCTACACGATGGGCTATATGTGATCTGCCCACCACGGGTATAGAAACCCGGTTTCTAGCATTATAAGTCTGCAGAATTTGAGAATAGAAAAAGTTATTCCTTTTTCACTTTATACATTAAAATATAAACTTGCAGTCAAATTTAACATGTACGAAACGATACAATAGTTTGAACATGATTTTTTTTTCATGTTACAGTTAAGTTTTTGTTCATTTATTTAAGCATTATTCGGTACCTTTGATTGGTACGATCAACTCTTCTAGAACATTTGTCTTCTCAGTTTTTATTAGTTCTTCAGAAATTTCGTAAAGAGTTTCTTTGCCCAGCGTTCTTAGCCATACACAAAGGTTTGTAGCAACCATATGCATTAAGCCAAATCTAGCCACTGTCTTGAATTTCTGGATGTTCAGCTGAAAATGAACAACAGGTTTTTATAATTATTAATGGAACAGCACCAGAACACTTTCAATTTTTCTAATATAATTGTGACTTGTAAAATTAAACTGTTGTAAAAACCGGAAAAGTCCAAGAAATGTTAAAAAAGCGTTGAGTGTAATAAGCCACTGATTCTAGTTAATGTTTAACAAGGTTCACAAAAAACTTTTTTTTGAAAACGTATGCTTTATAGCGTCAATTATATGTCTGTCAAAATATTATGAAAAAAGTAATAAGCCTGGTCGTCATTTCTGGTTTTAGCAAATCCACTGATCCATTTAATAAATCTGTTTGTGTTTCATGAAATAATAACATATCGATCAAAATATTAAAAATATTCAAATATTTGAGATTAAACATTTAGTTAAACTGATGAAACATTTAT